AGAAAATGGTCACACTATACAAAAAGGTTTATTAGTTAATGTTAATTAATGCATTTACTAACATGAACAAACAATGAACAATACATCTACTACAGTCTGTATTTATGTTAGTAAACGTTAGTTAATGAAAATACAGTAGTTCATTGTTAGTTCATGTTAACTCATGGTGAATTAACTAATGTTAACAAGCACGGATAGTGCATTAGTAAATCGAATTAATTAGTAATTCAATTCTGATTAATAAATGCTGTACATGTGTTGTTCATGATTAGTTCATGTTAGTAAATGGATTAGCTAATAAACCTTATTGTAAAATGTTACCGAGAAAATATCCAGTGACGGCAGTTCCTGCAGGATAACGCAGCATGTCATAAAGTGTGAATCATCTCAGACGGGTTTCTTGAACATGACAATGTTCAAAACTGTACTCAAATGGCCTCCACAGTCACCAGAACTCAATCCAATAAAGCACTTTTTGGGATGTGGTGGGACGGGAGATTCGCAGCATGGATGTGCAGCTGGCAAATCTGCAGCAACTGCGTGATGCTATCATGTCAATATGGACCAAAATCTGAGGAATACTTCCAGTACCTTGTTGAATCAGGGATTAGGGCAGTTCTGAAGGCAAATGGGTTCCATACCTGGTACTAGTAAATTTACCTAATAAAGTGGCCTGTGAGTGTATATATTCATAAGCAATAAAATATATATTTGCATTATTATTTTAATTAATCTTTTGAAAGCAAGGAACTTTCATCTCTTTACTCACCCTGCATTGTAAAATATTTATTTGAAAATGGCAAAAATGGTCAGAGATGTTTCATCAGCATTTGCTTGCAGAATTCTACGTATTTTAACAAAACATAACAAAAAACAAAAACATACAACATTGTAATATACATGGAAAATGCACATACTGACAATAAAAGCTCTTTCAGCTTTGCTTTGTAATTTAGCCGAGCAGTTTAGCGTCTGGACGTTTCACAATAACTTCTTGCCGTGTCGTCTCATATCCTATGCTTTACTGCCGTATACTCTGTCTGCCACTGCTCTCATCTCATTCATCTACAGGTGAGATCTGCTCTCCTAATCTATTGTTTCAGGTTTGTATGCCCCTATCTGTACATGCTTAGTTTTGTGTGTTTGTGGACGGATGTGAAACAGATTTTTGTGCTGGTTGAAGACATTTCTCCAGCAGGCTCTGATCACAGGCAGGGAATTGAAACAGGAAGTGATGGTAAATCTGTGATTTGCTCTCACAGACATGGAAAGACCTTTGCTGAACAGGTAAAACTTGTACCGGAGCTTTTTCATACATGATTGACGAGCATGATCGTACACCAGTGATCTATTTTACTTCCCTGATGTGAAATCATTAGTGAATATTTGTCAACACTCTTATTACTCACACTCTGTTCTGTTAATCTGCTCTCTAACATCTCTCACTTTTTAATCTACTTTTTATTCATATTATTTAATGGTGCTGTATGTGTGTTTTTGACTCCTTGCAAGCATAAAAACAGCACATGTTTGCTAATATTTAAGGATGTTTTCACACTAGCACTTTTAGTCAGCACTCGGGTTTGTTTCTCATCAGAGTACGCTTCATTTAGCTAGTGAGAATGCTGTCTTCTGAACTCGGGTGCGCACCCGTGAACCGTACCCAAGACTGCCTGAAAGAGTGCTTTCACATCTGTGGTTCGGTTCATTTGGTCCGGAACAGAGGCAATAAATGATACATTGTAGCATTTTCTGCCGTCTTTAGGTCGTTTTCACATCACACTGCTTGATTTGGTTTAAACCAGTTAAAAAGAACCAAAATGCAGTCATCTGACAAAATCCACATCACTCATTGGCCAGATGTTATTGAACATATTTCCTAAACTGCTTTTCGATTGGTCAGAATTAATGTGTGGGAAAATGCCAATGGAACTACCGCAAGTAAGCAAACAGACACAAAATTTAGCTTTTCACTACGGAGGGACGACTGCGCTGGCTGATTGTATCCCTGCCAGGGGCGGACTGGGACTAAAAATCTGCCCTGGCACTGTAGCCACACCAGCATTACCACACCGACACAGCCCCATGCACGGACATGCACATTCACTACTTATATTGGTGTACAGATGGTGAAATAATATAAGCAGTACCACATATGTAATAGATATTTAAGCATTTATTGTATGTGTCTGGAACAAAATCAACCCATTTATAACAAATTTATACATGCAATCAATACATTCATTCATTTCCTTTTCGGCTTAATCCCTTTATTAATCTGGGGTCGCCACAGCGGAATGAACCGCCCACTTATCCAGCATATGTTTTACACAGCGGATGCCTTCCAAGCTGCAACCCATCACTGGGAAACCCTTATACACACACATTCACATACATGCACTATGGACAATTTAGCCTACCCAATTCACCTATAGCACATGTGTTTGGACTTGTGAGGGAAATCAGGAAGAAACTCACGCGAACATGCAAACTCCACACTGAAACAATAAGCTAAAAATATATAATAAGCTGGGCAGCACAGTGACTCAGTGGTTAGCACTGTCACCTCACAGCAAAAAGGACACTGGTTCATGTCCCAGATGGGCCAGTTGGCAACTCTGTGTGGGTTTCCTCTGGCCTGGGTGCTCTGTTTCCCCCCTCAATCCAAAGACATGGACTATAAGTAAATTGGATTAACTAAAATGGCCGTAGTGTTCAAGTGTGTGTGTGAATGAGTGTGTATGGGTGTTTCCAAGTACTGAGTTGCTGCTGGAAGGGTATCCGCTGTGTAAAACATATGCTAGAATAGTTGGCGGTTCATTCCACTGTGGTGGCCCCTGATACATAAGAGACTAAGCCAAAGGAAAATGAATGAATGATTACCAAGAAATCCAATTAGTTTTGGATAAATGTGTCGGCTAAATAATGTATAGATTGATGTATATTCAGATTTCAATATCATGATTAGATCTTCCTGAATTTTACAGACTCCTGCTTTTGCCTTTGGTCCCCGCACTTGCACCTTGGTTCTGTCTGCCAGCTCTTTCTTTAACCTCCCTTCCCCATTTCCCTTCACTTTCTTCTGCTTTTCGTTTTCTGTCATGCCGTCTCGCCACATCTTCCTCAAAGATGCGGCTGAAACACAGGAGCCAAAAGCAGCCCGTCTGCCTCAGCTTCCAGCTCAGTGAATCTGGCACTTTCTGCAAAAACACAGATAACATCACTACAAAAACACGGTATTCAACCTTCCACATGCAGCTCGATGTAAAGTTAGAAATAGACAAAAAAAACAACAACAAAAAAACAGAAACGCCACAGCTTCAGAGGAACATGTATGATCACGAGGGAAGATTATTACAGGACTGGAGGAATGAAGATGAGGATCTCTCTTACCCTTTTATCTCCTGCATGGATGCGCAAGAGGAAGAGTAAAAGAAAGTGTGTTAAATATGGTCCGCAAAGTGTACGTTTGTAGTATATTTGGCATATATGGCAAGGTATACATGTGTAAAATATGTTTGCATCTAGTGAACTTCACAAGGTGATTATAAATTCATAGAAATCATGCAAGTGTCTGTTTCAGATAACTGCAATGACAATAAAATGTCAAAATTTGGGTAAATAATGTTCCATCATCATTCAGCTTTAAAAAAAAAAATAATAAATAATAATAATAATAAATATATATATACCCCATTGAATTTGTTTTTCCTTTTTAAATATTTCCCAAATGATGTTTAAAAGAGCAACGAAAATTTCACAGTATGTCTGATAATATTTTTTCTTTTGGTGAAAGTCTTATTTGTATTATTTAGGCTAGAATAAAAAAGTTTTACATTTTTTAAACACCATTTTAAGGACAAAATTATTAACCCCTTAAAGCAAATTTTTTTTCCAATAGTCTATAGAACAAACCATCGTTATACAAAAACTTGCCTAATAACCCTAACCTGCCTAGTTAACCTAATTAACCCAGTTAAGCCTTTAAATGTCACTTTAAGCTTTATAGAAGTGTCTTGAAAAATATCTAGTCAAATATATTTTACTGTCATCATGACAAAGATAAAATATATCAGGTATTAGAGATGAGTTAATAAACTATTATGTTTAGAAATGTGTTGACAAAATCTGCTCTCTGTTAAACAGAAATTGGGGGAAAAAATAAACGGGGGCTAATAATTCTGACTTCAGATGTATATATATATATATATATATATATATATATATATATATATATATATATATATGTATATGTGTGTGTGTGTGTGTGTGTGTGTGTGTATGTATGTATATATATATATGTATGTATATATGTATGTGTGTGTATGTATATATATATATATATATGTATGTGTGTGTGTGTATATATATATATATATATATATATATGTATATGTATGTATGTATGTATGTATGTATGTATGTATGTATGTATGTGTGTGTGTGTGTGAGAAACGAAAACATTAAAGTATATAAAATCATAATTAATCATACTAAATTTGATATCAAATTAATAAAAAAAATCGAGGGATTGTGGCAAAGATGTGAAATTTCATTTAATTAGTCATTTTGGGCTCCACTGTGATTATAAATAATATTAAAAAGTGGTCAAGTAAATTGTACATTTGTATTAATTGTAGTGTAATTGTGTGTGTGTGTATATATATATATATATATATATATATATATATATATATATATATATATATATATAAATTAATTGGTTGTATATAAACAAAGCACTTAACAATATAACTAACTACATGAGTATTTATATGAATTAGTAAGAATTAAATAAAAAAACCCTAACCATTAATGGATCTAATAGGTACCTTATAATAATAAACAACATACGAAGATGGATTTGACTTTAAATAAAATATGGATAAATATAGCCATGTGCAAAAAAGTTGCACAAATAATAACAGAAAGTAATCATTTAAATGGATCTTTACTTCATAGATAATATGGATGAAAATAAAAGAAATCACGGACAACACTTTACAAAACTCAGTTTATTTAATATACTTAAATCTTTATGATGCAAACATTCTGCATATGCCCGCATACACAGTTACAATACAGCTAGCATACAAATATACTTAGTGAACAGAACGTACAATTTTGAGGTATAGTGTAGATAAAATGACATTATATAATAAAAATAACAAATGCAAGCTGTGCAAATTTGTCAGTTGTTCAATTCACATTAGATTTACCTAGCTTACTTCATGTTTTTATGACAAAATAACACAAACAAGTCATTATATATTAAGATTTAGTATGTGCATATGAAGAGCTCATCTTAAGTGCTGGTTTCTTTAAAAAAATATTATTCACGAATGTTGAATATTCACAGTCTTGCATGGATTTCACAGTAATCTGGCATGTTAACACAATATTTGTGTTGCTGTGCAAAATACATTTTAAAATCTCGTTCCCTTTATGATGCCACATTCCCATATAGAAATCAGATATATGGAAATATATGCAAATGACATACAAGTTCAGATTTTGATTTCAGATACACTACCGAAAGTTTGGGGTCAGTGGGATGTTTTAAATGTTTTAAAATGAGCTAATCCTGCTCATCAAAGCTCCATTTATGTAATCAACAATACAGTACAAATTGTGAAATATTATTGCACTATAAAAATAACTGTTCAAAAGTAGTTTATATATTAATAGAATAATTTATTCCAGTGATTTTAAAGAAGAACTTTCAGCTTCATCACTCACGTGATCCTGACTGGAGTAATAACTTCATTTGAAACTACATACAATAAGTCATAAATAAACATTTAATAAATAAGTATTTACATTTTTTTTTACATTTAATAAATGCCACCTTGATAAACAAAATAATTTTCTTTAAAAAAAGAAAAAAAAAAACTGACCCCAAACTATTGATTGGGTGTGTATATATCATATGCATATTGCAAAAATGGCAATTTCATTTTGTTCTTCAACTATTAGAATTTAAAATATGTCCATATATGTTCTAATATATTAGCTACAAGTATATATAAACACATATGTAACATAATAGGTAACATAATAAGCACATATTTTTAGTCTCAATAATTAAAAATATGTATAATGAATGGCCATTTAGGCAATACACATTTATTTTCCTTCAGCTTAGTCCCTTATTTATCAGAGGTCGCCACAGCGGAATGAACTGCCAACTTATCCAGCATATGTTTTAAGCAGAGGATGCCCTTCCAGCTGCAACCCAGTACTGGGAAACACCCAAACACTCTTATTCACACGCACACTCATACACTAAGAGTTTAGCTTATTCAATTCACCTATTGACCTTATTCTCCGCAGACGAGCGGGCGCTGCCAATCGAATCTATTTGGCACGAGACTTCCGGTCTCATTCACTTCCATTCATTTTTAGACATTAAAAACTGCTTGTTTCTCTGTTTGATGTTGCAAACTGATATTTCCTTGTTATATTATTCTACTTGGTCTGTATAGTCATGCAAACATTTGTTTGTAGAGCAAGTAGTTTGACCGTTTTTTGCCGTTTATTATTCCTTGTCATTTCTCCCATAGGCGACTGAAACGGAAATTCTAAGACAATCGCGAAAACAGGCGCACTTCCGCATTTTAGAATAAGGTCAATAGAGCATTTCTTGGGGGGAAACAGAAGCACCCGGAGGAAACCCATGCGAACACGGGGAGAACATGCAAACTCTACACAGAAATGCCAACTGGTCCAGTCTTGGCTCGAACCAGTGAGTTTCTTGTTGTGAGGCAGCAGTGCTAACCACTGAGCCACCATTTTTGCAATATCAAATCAAATTTTATTTGTCACACACACATTCATACATAGTATAATATGCCGTGAAATGCTTAAACGACCGCAAGTGACCTTAAAAAAGAAACAGATTATCAATAAGTAAAAAAAGTTACGGAATAAAATAAGATAAAATACAGAAAAACAACTTTAGCTATAGTTTAATATTTCAAAATATATGTGCATATATGACACACATTTTATATATGCAAACTTCAACTACGAACTTGTATGTCATACGTGTCATTTGCATGTATTTCCATATATGTCTATTTGGGCTTCAAATGTAATCCAGCAGGTGAAACTTCACACTTCTACAAGCTAATCTATTCTTACTCCAGGTTGAGCGTTCTCCGGTCTCCTGCTTTAATGTCAGCGAGATGCGGATGGCTCTCGCTCATGTGAGTGAAGCGATCCTGGAGATACTGGTTCCCGAAGCCCATGATCTGGCCTGTGGATTGGCTGTGTAGATTAGCTACTCTGGCGGTAAAATCCAGCGTAAAAGCGAACTTCACCAGCTCTGGTGCCACCACAGGCTGATGGGTTTTCTTATTGGGAACTTCCGACTGCACATATTGATCGGCCATTTGCTGGAAGGAACTATAGGAGAAGCCAGAATCCAGATAGGCACATACAGTGGGGTTTTCCTTTAGCTGCGGGGGAGACAAGAGAAGAGAAAACATAAATTCTGGGTTCCACTCCACCTTTAGGATGCTTTCACACATTGACGTTTGTTTCAGAATCTGGTGCGTTTGCCCCCTTCGTTTAGGCGTAAACAAAACAAATGGTCCGAGAACGCCTGAACAAGGTGGTCTCTGCACAATTAAAAAAAAAAACTCTGGAGAGGTTAAGTTGTAGTGAGAAAGCAATACGATCCAATGAACCAGGCTATATCATAGTTTATTATGGACGTGTAATGGGCATATATACAGCTTTAATGTGGTGTTCACACCAGACGCGGCACGGACGGATAAATCGTGCTATTCACACCTAAAAGACGTGTGAACATTTTGAGTTTACTCGCTTCATTCGCGTGTCAAATTCACTTCACAATAGACGCGTAGCTTCCTTGCTAAATGGCTAACATGGATTTTATTGAGAGAATAGCTGTGTTTATGTGCTTTAGGAAGGCTGATAAACAGCGTTGATTCCTTTGGAGGCGTGTCTGAGTCCACTAGATCCAATCAGAGGTGCACCCAACTCTGTGAGTTCATCTACTCCTCCAGAAAATATACCTGCATGATGGAAGCTTTCAGCGGTTCTTTAGACTGAACCCAGCCTGATGAACTATTGTCCTTTGTTGGCACGAGGATTTTCTCCCAGGACACCAATAACTAGCACTACGTCATAATCACGCCCCTACAGGGGAAAACTCCTGATTGGCTAACATACTTTTTCTGGTAGGAGTGATATCTCTACTCATCATTCTCTCTTCTCATGCTGTGTTCACCCCAGATGCAGATGAAGCGTCAAGCGTGAGTGATTTACATGTAAAGACGCAAATAGACATCCTGTGGTGCAAATGACGTGATGCGAGTTGAATGTTTTGCATGACTTAAGGCCTTCTTACACTGTGCAAAATTTTATTTTTGAATTGTTTTATATAATCCTGAATGATTGTAACATGTCAGACTGCATAAACATGGCTCCCATGTTACACTATAAGATCTCAGCTTTCATAAAGTCAGACTGAACGACAATGAAGACGCGCCAAACACAAAAGAAAAACGCCCCCGGTGTTTGACGTCATCCACCCTTGACACTTTCACTATCCCGCGTTCTTAAATGATTCCTCACTGCAAATGTAAACTATCTGTAATGGTAATTTTGCACACAGTGTGTCTTAATAATAAAACCAGAAAGAAAAAAAAAACAATTTTGACATTTCCCAGTTGTTGCTAGATCGGATATCGTTGTGGCCGGAAGTTAACGAGAATTATTTATACTTATTAAATTTCCCATTTATTGCATTTTATTAACGTCTACCCCCACTTCAACGCTAAACCCCACCATCACAGTGATGTAAAAACAGTAGCTGTTCAGACTATTATGTATGTAATCTATTAAATTACCTAATAAATTGTATTTTTATTGCCTACAACCACCACAACCCTAAACCCAATTGTCACAGTACTGTAAAAATATTAATTATTGTTATACAGTGTCATAAAAAAATGCTGCTATAATTGATGTGCATATCGCACTTCCGGTAGGCCACGTATCCAATCTAGACTTTACCACGTTTCCACATGGTCATTTCACTTGTCGCATGGATTGCGTTATCAAATTCGGAGCTCCTGTTGGCTGTTCTGACACTGCCAGAACGTCATCGGAAACTTCATCAAAAATCTGATCACAACGGGCTTTAAGCAGCTGTCAGTAAAAATGTCAAACCAACAATCAAAGATCACCAATTTTAGCCCAGGATTTCCCAAATTTGTCTTAGATGACTAAAATCGTGGCTGAAATCTCACAGAGTGAGCAGGGCTTTACACACGTATAGCTCTAGTTGGAAAATCTGAACTTCAGTGGACATTCGCGCCGCCTCATTCTCACGAATTGCGTCACTCAAGCATATCGCGCCGCAGGATGTCTATTCGTGCCTATGCATTGACTTAACATGTAAATCACTCTCGCTCGACGCTTCATCTGGTGTGACCGCAGCATAAGAAAGGAGAATGATAAGTAGAGATATCATTTCAACCAGAAAGTGTGTTTCATGTCAAATAGAAAGTGAACTTGTAGCGGAGACCAGCTAGTGAAGTGCTGTGCGACAGACACAAGAGGTTATGGTCTTTAGCCTCCTTGTTAGAGCAACCAACTCCCATGTGGAGAGTCACCAGTTCAATCCCAGCTCGGAGCAGGGTTACACTGGTGCCGTGACCCAGCTTGGGAGTGAGGATTAGTGGGATGAGCGTAATGGAGGCCAGCTAGTGAAGTGCTGTGCAGGTAAACCTCACTCCTCGGATCTCTAAAAGGTGCTCTAGCAACAGATGCTAGAGGCCATAGTCTCCTTGTTAGAGCAATCGACACCCATGTGGAAAGTCGCCGGTTCAATCCCAGCTCGAAGCAGGTTGGGTGGTGTAAGACCAACTAGGTTATAAAAGCATTCTGTCTGAACTATTAAAAAAAGTAATATAATTAACGTTTTGGTTAACTCAACTTCTGATATCGAATTGATATACATTTTAAACCCTTGAAAATTGAAATGAGGCTATGAAAAATTCTTACATCTGATTTATATTTGGTGATGACAAAATCTCTGGGTTTTATCATTTAAGATTATAGAGCATCTTTTCACGTATATCGTCTCATTTCTTATCATCATACATTAAAATAATGACGTATGATAGCTGAGTGGAATTCGGAAATATAAACCAAACTCTGAACAATGTGAGGAGAGTTTACTCGCACGTGACGAGTTTGAACTATTTTTGTCTGTTTAGTAACCTGTTTAATCTGTTTAATTTGCCTGTTTAATCCCTGTTTCTGAACAAAACAAGGGATCTTCAGCTTGTGAAAGCACCCTTAGACACAAAATTGGACTGAAATGCAACCTAAGGGAGTATTCCCCCGAAAGAACACACTTTAGCATTTCACACATATGAAACTGTGCCAGATATTGGTCTCAGGAGGGAACGAGATGCTTACCGTGTCATTTATTTTGTCTCCTTGCTGCTTTATCAGTTCTATGATTCTCCTGATAGCCTCTTCTTGAGAGACTAGTGGGAAAAACATTAAAAACATGAATTAAAATCAGTAAACAATCCAAAATCTATACTGAATATTTTTAACTCTTTGCATACACTCTTTTCACACTGTTTTACTATAGAGTAACAAGATGGTATGTCAATATCTGTCACATTCCAAAGGACAAAAATCATAAAACCTTTTATGATTGTGTTTTCTAGACGTTTGAAGCATGTGTGTGACTAAGAACATGGAGAGGAAGTACATAATTAAATGACAGTACTTTAGAAGTTACAGACAATTTATATGGAAATGTATAGTTATTGCTTTGCTCTACATGGTCACTATGAACTGTTAAAGTTGTGAAATTTTAAATTCTCCTATGTGTCTGTTGAGAAATATCAGTATATTGTTTAAAAAACTAATAATTTATAGTAGAATGCATTTAATTTGCAGCTATACTGCTTAAAGGGATAGTTCACCCAAAAACAAGTTTATACACAACTTGTAAATAGTGAACACATTTATTTTTGGGTGAACTAGCCCTTTAATTGATAACCTGTTCGTTCAACAACAGAATATTTTTGTCATTCTGATTTCGTTGTTCCAAATATCTAAACGTTAAACAAACACTTTCGTTGGTGGAACACAAAAGAAGATATTCAACCAAAAAGTTGCAGTAGCCACTGATTGTTTTGTCCCAAGGCTAAAGAAGTTCAACGGGTGCAGTCAAACTAACATTCCTCAAAAATACCTTTTTGTCTGTGTGTTAAATAGTAGAAACAAACAACATAGGTTGGAACCTCTTTAAGGTGAGTAAAATGTCATTTTTGGTGATCTCTTCTTTTAATGATAACTTGTTCTTAAAGGGATAGTTCACCTCAAAATAAAAACAAATTACAATTTAATCTCCCTCTAGTGGTATCAAAGAGTTTTTGGAGTTTTTTTCTGTTTAAGCAGAAATGATTTTATGAAGAACATCAAAATCAGGAAAGAAATATACTAAGAAGTCAAAGGCTAAAGGTTTCTAACATTCTTCAAAATATCCTCTTTTGTGTTAAACCGAAGTTAGAACAGGTGAATCACAAGTGAAAGGGGAGTAAATAATGGCAATTTTCATTTTTGGGTGAACTGTCCTGCCAGCCTGATTTCTTCAAGTAGGACATGTTCCTGGATTAACATCACAACATTCCAATCGTACTGACTGTGTTAAGGTTAGGATAGGTTTATGCACTTATACATGATGGCTATCCATTTATTATTCCCCTCTGATTTTGGAAATAATGTAGTTATGGTTGGGTTTAGGGGTAGGGAATAGGTATGGATTACATTTTAGTACAAAAATGATGTTCCAGGATCAACATAGATGTTAATCCAGGATTGCATCATACTTTGCAAAATCATGACGTGTGAACTGTCCCTTTAAGGAAAATTCTTGTTCCACATTTCTATCCTTCATACAAAGCAATCTTCTTTCATTGTAGTTAGCATGTTTGTTACAGGTGGAAAAAACTTTTTTTTGATTCCCCCAAAGTAAAAGAGTGTTTCAGTTTAATTTCTGAGAATGAACAACACCTTTAACCCTTATTTATGTTCATTTGTTTTACTTAAGCAACAACTACTCTATACTGGTGTGTGGCTTTCAGTCTACCTAATATTTAACCCATCTCCTTTGCATGATTCAAATACAGTTTACCATAATAACACTAACCTTCTGCGCAGGCATTCTGGGCTGTTGGTGGAGAAGTGGGATTGTCATCGGTTGGACTGTCTTTCACTTCATGCACAATTTTCTCCAGTTCCTCTGACATTTTCTCGTAGTATGAATTGCTGTGTTCCACCATCTCCACAGCTGCGAAAAGTCAAACTCCATTAGAAATTTTCCAACTAGGGCTGTACAAAATATATATACACACATACACACACACACACACACACATATATATATATATAAGGGCTGCACAATATATCGCTTTAGCATCGATATCGCAATATGCGCATCCCCAATAGTGTGTCTGATTTATAGTTGAGCAGGAGCTACATAATTGTATTTAATCAATGCATTTATAAGGTATTTATATAATTACTAAAAAATAGACCTTTGTCTTGTTTCTAGACCAAATATCTACATTTTAAAGCAAAAACAAGATTATTTCACTTACCCTACTAGCAGATAATTTTGTTTGTTTTAAGGACAATCTCTTAATTTTGACTTATTTTTTCTGTCGGTGAAAACAAAACCATAATTTTACTTGCTCTAAGAATTTTTTGATATTTGGACTAGAAACGAGACCAAACCAAGTAATAAAAGCATTTTAGTATTGTGATTACTCAATTTCCGCACCTGAATACTGTTTGACTCCCCAATATCGCAATATTTATCATAGAAAATGTGTATATCGTATAATAACATATATGTATATAATTTATTCCATGGTGTCGCAAAATATATTGTTTATGGTAATACATTTCCATAATTTATATGAGCGCAATATTACACGGCATTATAGCGGCAGTACTGCAAAAAGCGGCAATATTGAATGTACAATGTTTACATTTACGATTTTAAAGTCGAGTGCTATTTTTGGGTTTCCGCCTGGATTTTGCCTACACAAATTTAAAAGCTTCCCAAATCCACGTGCAGAGGTTTAAATGCAAAAGTTTGGTATCATTTAAAAGAAAACCCTTTGAATTTTCAAAAAACACAGTTGAAATTGATTAATAATTATATATGTTGTCCGTGTTATAATAAATCCCTAAAAAAGCGTTTTTTTGTAAACCTAAATTTGAAAGTGTACCTTTTTTGGTTCTGTGTGGTCTAGGTTGCTGTAATTAATTTTAGTAGTTCCTGCACATGTCAGTAATATTAAGAAAACAAGAAAATGTCTATTATAATCTATGCAAAAGTTATTCTATTCCAAGTGATGAGAGAACGGAACCACTTATGGGGTTATTGGGCCATTACAGACCTTTAAAATTTAAAGAATGGAGAAGTAAATGACGTCACGGACCCAGTACCAGGTCCCTGATTTTAGGAGGTTAATTAAGTCATATTTTAAGTCAGGACTGTAATCATTAATTTAGGAATAGTGTTTAATATTTCATTGATATATTTTATATTTCTCCATTCCTAAATTAATCATTTGCCCTGAAGTTTTAAATAAAGTGAGAAAAATATTTACACAAGAATAAGCAGATTTTTCAAATATATACTTTAAATTGTTTAAAAAAGAAAAAAAATATTTATATACTATTAATTGATTGAATTTACAGAATATCGTGATTCATATCGTTATCAGAATATATTTTTATCATATTGCCAGCCCTTATTCCAGCTTCAAATAAACACAAATAAGTTCTATCAGATACATACATTTAGCAGTTGACGTATCTCCGCTTCGCCTCCATTTAAACGACTTTTTCTTTTTCAAAGGTTTCGAACGGCGTATGTTGTTGTCAGTTTTGGACAGGGCATCGGCTAAAGGCAAGCAGGAGATCTGAGGTGAAGAGGGTTTGGTGTGTGGAGCATCTTCTTCAGTTCTCTGATGTTCTTGTTCCTTTTCAGTGTTTTCTTTGGTGAACCAACTCAAGAAACTCTTCCACACTGTGGGTTTCTTTGCCTTCTTTTCTTTCTTTTCCACTGTAGACGACTCTGCATTTTCGAGCACCTTTGCATTATTATCTCCAGCAGTAACTGTATTTGTTTGAGTGGGTAAAGCCTCACTGATTTGACCACCTTCCTCCTTGCCCTTATCCAAACGTTGAAACCACTTCTTGGATTTGCCATTGGACTTCTGAGACGCATTAGATCCATCATTCTGCCGCAAACTCTCCTTAACTCCCCGCTTTTTAGATTTCTTCTCAGACTGTGTCTCTTTTTTGTCCAGTGGCGTTTCAGGAATGGATTCAAATCTAATGTCTTCATCCGAGATTGAGGCTTGTGAAGTTAAGTTCAGAGATGTATCGCTGGAATGTCTGCGATCTCTTGTCTTTTTCTCGACGATGGGAACCCATTTGTGTGATCTCTGCTCCTTTCTGGGAGTACTCTGTGATCCATCGTTAAGGCTGAGACTTCGCTTAACGTACACCTCTAGAAGACGTTTCTTTTCCTTTTCTCCGACTGACAGCAGCTGAGGAACAGGTTGTGTATTATTCTGGTCTGTCGACATGGTTGCCATGCTGAAATACTGTGAAGAAATTAACATTAGTGTTAGTGGTTGAATAGCATTAGGGTTTTTTTAAATAACCAACAATGCCAATATCCATCAAGAGAGCCAATGTATACTTAAAGAGGCATATACACCTTATATTTTTACCTCAAGATAGCTAATAGTTTAAATATGCCAGCATTCTGGTGTTATTCATTTCCAGTTAATAATAATAGCCACACAAAAACAATCCATAATGCAGTATAATTGGGTGTTTATCATTTAAATTTAATTCATCACCATACTGGATTGAAACACATGTAGTTTTGTTACTTTTCTAGTTATCTGAGTTAACTGAAAATAACTTAAAACCTGGTACAAGCTAATTACCAATGCTTACAATCTGAATATCTTTTGATTAATTGCTGCATAGATTATTACACATTATAACTCACCTTTACTGTATTTAATCTCTTTGAATTTAATCTCTTTTAACCTTTGTAATAAATATGTTTTACTTGATAAGTAAATGAAGACAATATTACTGTTTGCGATTTAACATTTTAAACATTTCAAAATTTTTGAACAAAAATCTGACAGCTCATTCAACTTGTAGCTTTGTTTGTATGATTATCAGGGGCAGATTTAACCAAAAAGCAAGGTAAGTGGCCGCAGATATCTGGGGGCCCTCAATAAATTACTAGAAGTATAAATTATACCTATAAACTATATATAACATTGTTTTCTATCATATTTTGTATGAGAGGCAAACAGATAAAATTATTACGTAATTAAATATTATTTAATACACAACAAAATATATTACTATTATAATGTAATGTTATGTTGTTATGTCATAATACTATTATGAAAAAACATTCAATATTATAAAAAGTATATAATTATTTTTAGCTGTAAATTCATTTTACGAAATATAAATATTTTAAATGTAAAGCTTACATTAAGAATAAACTTAGAAAAAAAGATTGAATGATGTAAAAAAAAAAAAAAAACAGCAAAATAAATAAAATTTAAATAAAAGTAGAAATGGTGCATTTTCAGGACTGGAGTTGCTAGGTCCCCCCAAATCACTAAATCTGCCCCTGATGATTATAGCATGTACTACAAACTGCAATGCAATTAAATGCATTTTATTGAATAAATTAAAATATCATTCGTTAAATCTAGTTGAACCCAGCAGTTCTGAAATCTGTATGACTGTCTTTGGAAGAAAACTAAAGTAGGTACTGTAAATATTATGAAGAGCTTAAAATGGAGGAAGTGAACTATCCAGTACAGTACTCAATGGTCACCATTTACAGTTATTGTATCAAAACTTATTTTGAGATAATCATATGAAAGAGAATCATATTGTTTTACGTGGTTTTCCTAACGTAGAACATTATGAAGACAAATAATACGTTCTTATTTTTGCGTTAACTGTGCCTTTAAGAACGGAAATTCCACGAAAATTCCCCGCGTATATTCAGCTAGATAAGAACAACAAATACGACAACACAACATGAACGTTACTGTACGTTAATTAATCGAATAACTTAATTTTGTCTTACTGTTTCTCTCACTCGTTGATGTTAGTCCAATCTCCAGTGGTGACCGGCTGTTTGTGCAGACTTTTGAGGAACCATAGACGTCTGAAAGCAGCGTTTGAGAGACGCCCATTTTGTAAGGCACCAACCAGAAGGCGCTAAAGTCACAGGTAATGGGTCTGTCAGGTGATGTTTACAGTTTCTGTCGACAGAATTTTGTTCATGTGCCAAGGCGAATAGGGAAATGGTGATAGAATATAATTTAAAATGAAACCTAGTACATGTAATTTTGATCGTAAATATGAGTCATATGAATTAATTTTCAATAAATATTAATTAGGCCCCCGCCACTCCTAGTTTTGAGTTTGGCTTATGGAAAAGTTTTCTCTTATTCATAATTTCTCTCAGACTTTAACGTTAATTGTTCCAGAATTGTTTGTCTTTCTTACTGTTGCACACTAAAGAATATATTCTGTAGAAAGCAAACCTGTAACCGTTCACTGGCATTTGTTTCTATACAGAAGTCAATGGTTACAGGTTTTCGGCTTTCTTCAAAATATATTCAGATGAAAGTAACTCATGAAGATTTAGAACCACCTGTGTGTGTGTGTTTGTGTGTGTGTGTGTGTGTGTGTGTGTGTGTGTGAGAGAGAGAGAAAGAGAGAAAGAGAGAGAGAGAGAGAGAGAGAGAGAGAGAGAGAGAATAACATTTTTTGGGGGTGAACTCTCCCTTTTAAATGTATTAGACACAAGCCTTGACATACAGAAGAAATTGCATCATTCTGCAGCTAGTTAGTCATTGCCAGCAGGTTATGTATGGTGGCATGTACAAACGTAGCACTTTATGAGGGTAAGAAATTCCTGAACTCTTTTTTTTGTGTGTGTGTGTGTGTGTGTGTGTGCAGACCTAAGATAAGACATGGAAAGTCTGACTCATAATGAAAATGAAGGCAAGAAATGAAATGTACGTTTGAAAAAGTCCAGAAGTTGAGATATAATTAAGTTGGAATGTTAAGTATAGTTCATTATGCTTCTAATACATTGTGCAGTTAATATGTGCATTAATAAACTATAAAGTTGAGTTTATTTTATCATATAGCTATTATAGTTTAGATATTATATATTACTAATATTAGCAAATTTAAACAAATTCTGTAATAAATGTATTGTTTATTCTTTGTTCACGTTAGTAAATAGTAAGTAATATTAACTAATAGAACCGTATTGCATATTTTTTTATTGCTGAAACCAAGAACATACATACATACAAAAATTACACTGTCAATCAACAAATGACACTGACAAAAAATACAGCATGAAACAATGGAAAAAATAACAAGAGATATGAGAAGAGAGAAAAGGAAAATAAAACATTAACGAGGCGACACAGTGGCGCAGTAGGTAGTGCTGTCGCCTCACAGAAAGAAGGTTGCTGGTTCGAGCCTCGGCATGGGTCAGTTGGCATTTCTGTGTGGAGTTTGCATGTTCTCCCTGCGTTCGAGGTTTCCTTCGGGTTTCCCCACAGTTTAAAGACATGCGATACAGGTGAATTGGGTAGGCTAAATTGTCAGTAGTGTATGTGTGTGAATGAGACTGTATGGATGTTGCCCAGAGATGGGTTGCGGCTAGAAGTGCACCGCTGTAGTCCGCTGTGTAAAACACGCGCTGGATAAGCTGGCGGTTCATTCAACAGTGGCTGATTAATAAAGGGACTAAGCTGAAAAGAAAATGAATGAATGAAAACATTAAAGATTTTTTTGCAAATACAAAGGTTAATTTAAGGTTACCTTTACGAAGCTCTTAAAAGCAGAGCGTATTTTGACAGTCTTTAAAGCTTTCTTATTAAACAATTCTGAAATCAACTTTATATAATTCTCCATATCTTTAATAAAGACCACAAAGGCAGGTTTACTATCTGTGAATTTGCATTTGTGAATGTATTTACTCAAATAAATAATTAAACTGATTAAAAAAACATTATTTTCTTTTGTGTGAGTGAAAATACCCATCGCATCGCATTGAAGTTTTTTGGGGAATGACATTTAAGGTTTTATGTAAAACATAATTGGGAGACAAAATCATTTAAATGTCAGTGCAATTAGCATGAAAAAATTTATACACAATAACTGACATAAATATAATCTGACTAGACATATTTGCCCATTAAGTCGACTTAATGCATTATGTCACTTGTTGTTTATCGAACACGAGAGAGGGAAAATCCGTTTAAAGTCAAACCAGTTTGCCCTCCTTTTGTTTGCGTAAAGTTTTTCCAAATAAAGAGCGCTCATACTTTCACAATTCACTCTTTCATTATTATAGACTGGAATAATAAAGGAGTGTTTGTATAGTCAGGAGCTGTTGATTCATTTTAGCACATAGATGCCCATATAAAGTGATCAAGCACTTGCACATTACATTTACACACTTTCTTCTGTTCAAAACATGAACTGCTTGACCTTATATTGTGTTTGTGATGATTATAGTGCGTTGATTTTTACCGTGTAGACAGTATCAATACAGACAGTGTTGGTGTACATTACAGCAGCATCCAGAAAATGATGACAGATACACTTTTTACCAGCATATCATATACTACAGTTCTTCCTGTAAAACTTGCATATGCCATATTCTGCAGTGATACCATTCCATTGTGTGTTGTTTTAAATCTCTGCATACCACACATCTATTTTCATATACTTAAGATGAATGAACTGAATGCTTCTGTTGTATATTTTGATTGTGGCACATTTACGCGTTACAGTTCAACATTACGGCCACTAGAGGTCATCTGAAGGATGTGTGGGGGCAGACTTGTCTGGTTTCCTGGAAGACAGACTTCTCACCTTTGTTCAAAGACCTTTTCCACACACACCTGTAAAGCCTGTAAAGTTTAGGAAATGGTGATTACACAATTGACATATTATTGACATTTTATTACTGAAAAGCACAGTAATTACAACACCAACAATCAGCAAACTAGATCTGTCTTTTGAGTGATGTGGTTTGTGGGAAATGCATATGCAAATCAGGCAACTTAAGGAAGTTCCTGTTTTTTCTGTAATATGGAGAGATCTGACTTTGATGGAGATGTTCCACCCATTGTTAAATGTGATTTTGATGATGACTAACTGCTTTGTACTTCTATCTTTTAGGACAAATATGCAGTACATATGCAACTGCATAATCGATTGCGTATTTAGAGCTCATTCATTCATTCATTCATTCATTCATTCATTCATTCATTTTCTTTTCTTCCTTTATTCATCATTTTCAGTTATCTATCAAAAATGGAAAAATATACATATACATAAAATATACATAAACACACACTCACTGGTCACTTTATTAGGTACACCTGTCCCTCTGCTTATTAACGTAAATTTCTAATCATCATATGGCAGCAACTCAAAGCATTTAGGCATGTAGGCAAGGACAAGAGGATCTGCTGCAGTTCAAACTGAGCATCAAAATTGGGAAGAAAGATGATTTAAGTGACTTTGAACATGGCATGGTTGTTGATGCCAGACAGACTGGTCTTAGTATTTCAGAAGCTGCTGATCTACTTGGATATTCACACACAACCATCTCTAGGGTTTACAGAGAATGGTCCGAAAAGAGAAAATGTCCAGTGAGCGGCAGTTCTGTGGGTGCAAATGCCTTGCCAGAGGCCAGAGGAGAATGGCCCGACTGGTTCCAGTTGATAGAAAGGCAACAGTGACTATAATACTGACTCATAAATTCGTAAACTGAGGCTACAATTCACACAGGCTCACCGAAATTGGACAATAGAAAATTGGAAAAACATTGTCTGGTCTGATGACTCTCGATTTCTGATGCAACATTCAGATGGTAGGGTCAGAAATTGGCATCAACAACATGAAAGCACGGATCCATCCTGCCTTGTATAAACAGTTCTGATGGGTGGTGGTGATGTAATGGTGTAAGGGATATTTTCTTGGCACACTTTGGGTCCATTAGTACCAGTTGAGCATCGTTTCAATGCCAGAGCCTACCTGAGTATTGTTGCTGACGATGTCCATCCCTTTATGACCACAGTGTCCCTATCTTCTGATGGCTACTTCCAGCAGGATAACACGCACCACCTCATAAAGCGTGAATCATCTCAGACTGGTGTCTTGAGCATGACAATGAGTTCACTGTTCTCAAATGGCCTCCACAGTCACCAGAGCTAAATCCAATAGAGCACCTCTGGGGTGTTGTGGAACGGGAAATTCGCATCATGCATGTGCAGCTGACAAATCTGCAGCAACTGTGTGAAACTATCATGTCAATAAGTGTCCTTGTATATGTGAAAGTATTTTGATTATTAAAAATTAAAACTGTGCCAAGACTGTGGTATTAAAAGATCAAATTTTATATACATGCTTGCTGTATAGAAGCAAGCAGATGAGCCCTGAGTACTCATAAACTATAGGGATAGCTCACTCCCCCAAAAAAGTTAATTTACTCACCATCAATCCTTAAAGGGTTAGTTCAACCAATACGAAAATTATGTTATTAATTACTCACCCTTATGTAATTTCAAACTGGAAATAAAAACAAGGAACTAGAAAAATATCAAACAAACATCCTCACAAGAGACAATATGTCTTCAGTGGTTCAATCAGAATATGATCAAGCTATAAGAATACTTTTGTGCACATAAAATAAAAATAACGACTTTATTCAACAGTTTCTTCTTTTGAGTGTCAGAATAGGGTGCGCCAAGGTAAAAGTAATGCAGGTAAACTAGAAAGAGTCTGTAACTTTTTATATAGATGATGAGGGAGCGCTCAGACATCATCTAAGTATCTTAACTTGTAATTAAAAAAAAACAAAGGTCTCAGGGGTTTGGAACAACATGGAGGAAGAGTAATTTATTAAGTAATTTTGATTTTTGGATGAACTAACACTTTAAGACCTTGTTTCACGTTCATTCCACTTTAATTAGTAAAAATAGATAAGTTATTTTAATTCCTTCATGTAATCCCAACACAAATCAATTGTGTGTAACCCAGCATTTTTTACAGTGTTTATAAATGTGAAGGCAGAACATGAAAACTTGTCAGATTGACCTTCGAGTGAGAAATGACACACTCAAGCTCAACGAAGTGTAAGCACAAAAAGAGACGCACATCTATTCTCATTAT